CTGTAGGGAAACAGGCTGGGGCCTGTAGGCCCTGCCAGAAGGAAGCTTCCAGGCAAGAGCCTGGAAGTTTCCCTGTAGGGAAACAGGCTGGAGGTCCGGGACGGGCCCTGCAAGGCCCGTGTGGCTGCACAGTATGCCACAGTCTGGGACAAAGGATAGGCTGAATTGAGCCAATGCAGACCCAGCGAGGAGTGGCCAGCACTATAAAGAAAGCTGCCAGCCTCATTCCTCACCAGATCTCCTCTGGCTATCATGCGTGGAAGTGCTGGTGCACTTGTGCGTTGAGTCAGGAGGAGCAGCGCTGGAGGATGAAGATGCGCTGAATGGAGGAAGAAGACTGTACGCTGGGCATGACGCAGCCATAGCTGCCCAGCGAGTTAGCATTAGTAGTAGAGGGTTAGCTATGAGTAGTATTCAGAGTGGATCCTCAGGAGTAGAGAATGTGTATGCATCATAAGAGGAAGGGACTGAGTGTTCATTCAAGGTTTGGCTATGGGAGACACTTGCCTGAGTTGGTTGTGAACTGCAGAGGTGGCGCCGATGAGTTGTGACCATATTGATGACTGGGAGACAATCTGCAGGGGTAGCGCTGATGCCTTGAAAGTCATATTGATGAGTTGAACAGAGATTTGTGTTGCGCTGATGAGCGCTGGACTCAGGGGAACTTTGAAACACTTATGTAATCATATTTCTGATAATATAAGCTGTGAAACTCGGTCCTCTTCTTCTCTACCTTTGTCTATGGTTGAAGACTATTGATCACTGCGTGTGAAGATGATGCCTGACATGTACACATCTGCGTGAGATGGTCCCCAGGACCCATGCATGGATCTGGGTGTGGCCTGGCGGGCCCTCAGTTTCCACGACGCATACCACATGGGTTATTGCAAATAGCTGGGCCAAGTACTGGTGGTTTAATGTCATTGGCACAATTTGGCAGCTAATTGGCCTTGGCCCGTGCGGGGGATTGTCTGAAGAAAGTTAGAAACACTGTTGATATTAACCTTATAAGTTGGTGAGTCGCAATGGTGACTTTATTATTATTATTATTTTTGGAGGAGGGGGGGGGKGGGGGGAAGGGTCAAATATTTTTTTCCTTTTTTAATTGGATTATTAATACTAATTTAATATTTTAAAAACGATGGGTGAAGCTTCTGAAACAATGAAAGAGTCAATAAAGACCCACTCCACACATGACGAATTATTTTTTTTCCCCCCACTCTCGTGCGTGCGTTGGTAATGGTTGATATGCATCAGGTAGGAATAGCAGGAGCTGAGAAGGGGTTGGAGAAGCTGGTTGAGGCACGCGGAGAAGGATGGGACGTGGGCTGGGCCCTACCGGTGGCTACGATGGAGAGAAGTAAGAGGGCGAACGAGATCGCGGGTGGGGGTCATTCTACGGTGCCTGCCATTTTTTCCAGTGTGAGTCCTTCTGTGCTTTCTGGAGTCTCATCCTGTCCGTAGGATGGTTCAGTAACCAAGCTCCACTCCATACTTGCTACCAAACCCCAAACACTTACCTTTATGTCACCGTCCAGTCAAACTCTTTACCTTTTTTTTTTTTTTTTTTAAAGAAAGGTCCTTGTCATTGAGGGCATTTTTTGAAATTGGAACGATACAGAGGAGATTAGCGTGGCCCGTGCACAAGGACGACATGCATAGATCAAGAAATGGTCCAATTTTTGAAAACCATCCGTGGAAATTGGAATGATACAGATAAGTTTAGCATGGCCCCTGTGCAAGGATGACACGCGTAAATCGAGAAATGGTCCACAGATTCCAAACGTTAAAATTGGAACAATACAGAGAATTAGCATGGCCCCTGCTCAAGGATGACATGCATAACTCAAGAAATGGTCCATTTTTTGTTATGCTTGTCATCCTTGCGCAGGGGGCCTGCTCAAGGATGACATGCATAACTCAAGAAATGGTCCAATTTTTGTTATGCTTGTCATCCTTGCGCAGGGGGCCAGGACAATAATCAATCTTCCCTGTATCGTTCCAATTTTACCGGCTGTGCGGAAGGACTTTCCATTTTATGAAATTACGAGGATACGTATTCTCCTTCCATTACAAGATATACTGTAATGATCTCTATCTCTGTAATTTCGTTGGACTCTCTCCATGCTGTCTCTCCGGTTATTTTCTGATTACCTATCATTTCTCTGCATCTTCATCTCCACATTACCCACAGGTTTGCTTGTCTCATCAGATCTGCTGCTATCCTGCGTTCCTCTTCCTCAATTTCTTCATCTCTATCTCTTGCTGACAATATATAGTCTGTTTGCCCCCCAAAAAAAAAAAAGAATTAGTCTGTTTGCAAGGGGGAAAGTGTGCTGGATATGTTTGACCGGGCTTTGCTGACTTCATCCCAGCGCTGCTCTGCACGGGGGAGTCGATATTAGACAGTGGACGACTGTCATACCCCGAATAGAACATAGGGTGATTATGCCTGTGTATGGGCCAACAACTCTCAGTCTAGATACAGCAATAATGATCGTACATTCTATTCATTCGGGGCAGTCTATATTAGACAGTGGAATCAGTGGACTACTGTCTTACCCCGAGTATCATTTGTCGAAAACTTCAAAATCTTACCTTCTTCTCCTGAATGGAACGCCCAGTAATTATCCCTGCATCTGGGCCGAAAGTTGTGCCGAATACAGCTATAATGACTGGGCATTCTATTCGGGTGAAGACGGTAGTCTAATGTGCTACTGTAGCATTGCCAAGGTATTGAGGTTGGCCATCCAGGCTCCTCTTCCGCTAGTTATTTGAACCGTCTATTGATTCTATTCTATATAGTTGAACGCGGGTCCACCAAACTGTCCCTTGTCTTATAACCTTTTTTTTTTTTTTTGCCTGATAAGTGCGAGGAATGAGCCCTCGCGGGGCCCTTGTCAAGCATGCACATCTTCTGGGCAGAAGCCCCCAGCAAGCCAAGTGACTGCCCTAAGTGAAGGCGGGCCTGAATATTCAATAAATGCCAAAATTCCTGAGTGAGGATCCGGGCCGCCCGGGTGACCGGCAGGGGCCCGGGGGAGGTCCCAGGCGCCCTGGCCAGGCAGGGCACCCGGTTGGGGGCCGGGCCGCCCCAGCGCACTCACCTGTAGGGGGGGTTTGGACCCCCTTTTGGCTGCTGTGTGTGTGTTTGTCTGTGAGTGTGTTGTGTGTGTGTGTGTGTGTGTGTGTGTGTGTGTGTGTGTGTGTGTGTGTGTGTG